CCAAGAGTTTGAGATTGCTATGAGTTGTGATGCCACAGCACTCTTCCCAGGGCAACAGCTTGAGAGTCTGTCTCAATCAATCAATCGATAAAACAAAGGAGGAGAGAGCCCATCAGGTGTTCAGTGAGTCGCCTTTGGGTGTGAACATTGAGTTTAAACTTGCCAGTGTGATCACAGGCAGGCCCTGGGTCATGGATGAACCAACTTAGGGTGTTCTGTGATTACTGGCAACCCCAGACTCCCCATAGGGATAATTCATAGTTAACTAATAATTTGGGAGCAGTTTCTTCTGTACATGTGACAACCCCTGTGGCACGAGCACTTCGCTGGTGTAGTATCTCTCTCCTCTGCCGTTTTCACTCGATTATATGTGTCTGTGTTCACCCTGTGACATCCAGCCCACCGCATGTCCAGGTGAGCTGAAGACAGTGGAAACAGAAGTAGAAATAATTAAGCCCCTTGTTTATAAGTGAAGGCCAGATGCTATCACTCCCTGGAAGCCATCAGGCTCTGTCTCTCAGCTATCGGAAACTGAGAGTGATGGGACATAGTTGAGGCAGCACCAGTTATGCTAAGCAGCATACAGAATAAGTCTTGAAAGGTTATTACTGATTTGGTGAGTAGATCAAAATAAGTGAAACATTCCTATAGCCTGGTGTTGATGCATCGTTACATGTTAAGCAATAATATTCTTTTTAGAAATTTCTGTCTCCTATTTAAACTTTCTATATGAGTTTGTTTTTATGTTATGTTTGAATTAAAAATCCTTTAGGATTTTTCCAGGAATAAAAATAATTCTGTAGCTACTGCTACAATACAAGCTGTCATACTCTGGCTTCTTTTCAGATTGCATAAATCTTTCACCTTTTACAATACAAGCTGTCACTGCAGTGCCTTCGTGGCACCCAGGGGCCGTGTGGCACTGCTGCTGTCTCTGTGGGGTTTCTCAGGCACCCAAGTTTCATACAGATCCCACCCAAAGACATTTCAGGATTGTGCCTTGTCTGTGAGAGGGATGCCTGTGTGTTCTATGCTGACTGACATTATTTAAAATAGCTTTATGTTTGCTACTGTTGAATCTGTTACGAGGTATTTGGCAGAGGCTATGGGCTGGTGATGGGTCCATGTCTTCTGCAGGTCTTCTTCAGTGCATTTGCTAGTGATTTCCTTGAGGTCAAGTGTAATCTGACAGGTTTCACCTTGGTTAATTGAACTCTTTGGCCTTTCTGCTGAACCAACCTTAGTAATAAGCCAATGACACATGTTCTGTTTATCTGCTTTCTTCCTCTCTCTCTCTCTTTCTTTCGAGACAGAGTCTCACTATGTGGCCCTGGGTAGAGTGCCGTGGTGTCACAGCTCACAGAAACCTCAAACTCTTGGGCTTACACAGTTCTCTTGCTTCAGCCTCCCAGGTAGCTAGAACTACAGGTGCCTACCACAGTGCCCAGCTATTTTTAGAGATGGGATCTCACTTTTGCTGAGGCTGGTCTCAAACCTGTGAGCTCAGGTGATCTGCCCACCTGAGCCTCCCAGAGTGCTGGGATTACAGACGTGAGCCATCGTGCCAGGCCCCCTGTCTGCTCAGCTTCTGCATGCAAATATTCTTTTATTCTTTTGATGTTCATTGCACAAACAGCATGAGTTTGAAACATACCTCAGAATACTGGGGGAAAACATCTAAATGGCTGTAGGTGTGCACAGTTCTAACAGAGCAGTGCCTCAGACAAGCAGCTGTGTGGGCCATGGCTCTTAGCTGGGACTGTAGGCAACTGCCACAACGCCTGTCTATTTTTTTTTTTGGTTGTAGTTGTCATTGTTGTTTGGCAGGCTCAGGCTGGATCGAACCCACCAGCTCTGGTGTATGTGGCTGGCGCCCTAGCTGCTCAGCCACAGGTGCCAAGCCAGGGCTGCCCTTTTTAAAAAATCTTTCTAAATGATGCTATAGTAGAGTTTCATTCCCTACTCCGACCCCTCCCCTTTTTTGTATATAGCTCTGAGTTTTTCTTTTTGGTATTTTTTGTTTTGTTTTAAGACAGAGTCTTGCCCTGCTGCCCGGGCTGGAGTGCAGTGGCACTAGCACAGCTCACTGAACCTCAAACTCCTGGGCTCAGGGGATCCTTCTGCCTCAGGCTCCCTGAGGCAGCCTCACTGGGATTGCAGGTGCTGTTTATCAGGTTGAGGACACTCCATTCTCTTCCTCCTCTTCTGAGTTTTATTACAAGTGGATGTTGAATTTTGTCAAAAGCTTTTCTGAATCAGTTGAGGTGATTATAAATTTTTTTATTTCACTTGTTGGTATGGTGAATGTTGTTGATTTTCAGATGTTGAACCAGCTTTGCATTCCTGCAATAAATCCCCACTTAGTCATGGTGAATTATTTTTTACTTTTTTTTTTTTTTTTTTTTTTTTTTTTGAGACAGAGCCTCAAGCTGTCCCCCTGGGTAGAGTGCCATGGCATTACAGCTCACAGCAACCTCCAACTCCTGGGCTCAAGCGAGTCTCCTGCCTCCGCTTCCCAAGTAGCTGGGACCACAGGCGCCCACCACAACGCCCGGCTAGGTTGCAGCTGTCATTGTTGTTTGGCGGGTCCGGGCTGGGGATTCGAACCCGCCACCTTAGGTGTACGTGGCTGGCGCCTTAGCTGGTTGAGCTATAGGCACCGAGCCTTTATTACTGTTTTTATATACAGAGGTGTGAAAAATATGTACATGCATTTCAGAAAAGGAAAAAACTATTGAAGTTGTAATACTCAGTATATGCTAGTAACAGAAGATGAATACAAGTCACGTTTGACTTCTGCAATTACAAGAGGTGCTCAGTGTACACATAATACATAGATAGCATCTTTTATAACGTGCATATTTACAGGATGGCCGTAAAGTTCGTGTGCATCTTAAATTGCTTTTTCTGATTTCTTTGAGACTTCTCAAGTGATTGTGGGTTCTTAGGGGCATGTTGCCCAGTTTCTCAGGTAGTTGGGGTTTCCAGCTATCTTTCTGTTACTAATCTGAGTCTAACTCCATTTTGGTCAGAGAACACACTCTGTATGATTTCACTTCTTTTGTGTTTGTTCAGGATTATTTCATGACTTGAAATATGGTGTATCCTGGTTTGTCTTAATCCCGTTCTTCCTTCTTTTCCTCTCACAATGTGTTTGCTCAGTAAGACGGAGCCTACCAGAATCCGGGGGCCAATGGTGACCCTAGGGTGAGGTGTCCATGGGGGATGGGGGGCACCCTCAAGCTCTGAAATCTGGCTCAGGACCCAGGGGCTGAGGGTCCTGACTATGTCCACAGGGACAGCATGAGGTGAAGGGCCTGCTCCCCCCACCCTGCTTAGCTCTCAGACTCCAGCAGACACCCCCACGAGTCTCAGGAGACAGCATCCGGGGCGTTCTTGTGTAGTCGCTGGTGAGCATGAGGGTGACTTTGAGGTAGCAGTGGTTTTGCAGTGCCCCTGGTGTGCACAGGGACACTGAGGAGCAGTGCGGCCGGCCAGGCCCAGTGTGGGCAGCAGCTTGGGGGCTCTGACAGGTTTCTGTGTTGGGTTTTTCATTCGGGTTGTTTCAGCTTTGTGCCACCTTATCTCACAAACTGGCCTTAAAGACATTTCACTTGGGATTTGAAAAACAAAAATCAAACATTTTCTGACTGTGGGCAGGTCCATTTCCCAGCTTTGGAAAGCACCTAATGTCCAGGTTGGTCTGTGCCTCCAGAGTCAGCTGAATCAGTCAGGCCTGGTTTGGAACGTGCTGCCCTATCCCTGTCACGGGTCCCCTGCGGGCATCATGGCTCAGTCTATCATGACCAGCTCCCATCTGGGGCTCTGCCCTATCTTGTGGCTGCCACAGGTATTAACAGGGGCTGGCTGGTTTTGGCCCCCAGTCCTCTCTTTGTGGGGGACGCTATCAGGCATACCCCGCCTGGGAGCCCCCACATCCTATGTTCAGTTTTGTTGGGCACAGTGTAGTGCAGACAGCATCAGCCTAGTGATAGCCCACAGCAGGTAGGGTCCTGTACCCGGACCTGAACTTGCCTGACTCCCTTCCACTCAGACCACTGCCCAGGCACTTCCAGGAGAAGGTGCCAGAGGGGCTGAGGCCTGCCTTCCTACCACCTTGTTCCACGCACACGTGTGGCTTTGTTCAAGGCTGGCCATGTGCTCAGGAGGTGGACATCAAAAGTCCAGATTCCCCAAATGGAACCGAAGACAGGCTTGGGCGCCCACTTGTTTTGGACCCTAAAGCTGTACTGGGCGGCCTGGCCGTCTCAGTCTGGACAGTTGTGCCTTCACCTCATGCTGTTCGTGTGGACGAGGGAGAACCCGCCAGAGTTCAGAGCTGAGGAGGCAGCTCTGGGAAGCCTGCCCACCCTGCACTCCCATAGGTGCCGCACCTGGGTGGCTGCCTCACGTGTCTGTGCTGGGTCAGTCCACAGACCCACATGTGTGGCAGGTGGCTCTGGAAGCCAAAAGCTATGCGTTCACATAGGCAGTACCACATAGAGCAGGTTGGTGTCCCCTCCCCCTTCTGTGTTCCCAGGTATGGAACCCCTAAGTCTTCAGTGTGTCCTCCAGGCTGTCCTAGGTGGGGCACAGATATCACCAGGACTCTGCATGGCCTCAGCACAGAATGGTGGGGGACATCAGCAGGGCCAGCAGAGCGCTCACAGCAGCTCTGCAGGAAAGCAGGGGTGGCTGGTGGGGTTGGCAGACCTGCGTACTCATAGCTGGAAGCTGGGCTCCTGAATTCCCTGTTCTGTGGTCATGAACTTAGAGCTCTCTGAGCCTGTCTAGGGCCCAGCGTTCCTCCCACCTGTCTCTGCATACCCTTGCTGGGCCACCTCCTCTGAAGGCAGGGCTTCTGGGTAGAGGTGGGCTGCTGTGTGTAGGGACCTGGAGGGCGGCTGCCACCTGGCTAGGCCTGAGGAAGTTCTTGGAGCTGGGTGGAGGGTGCCGCCCACACAGCCTCCTGAGGCCTGAGCTGTGCGTTACCCTTACAGATTGTGCAGCCTGACTCTGAAGAAGCTAGTGGTCTTCAGGGAGTTGGAGAAGGAGCTCATCTCCGTGGTGATCGCTGTCAAGATGCAGGTGAGGCTGCAATGGCCCACTAAGGTTGGTGCAGGGCTTGTGCACACACCCAGGAGACAGGTCAGCCTGATGCATGGACAGTGAGCCTTTCTTGAGAAGTGGGCAGCCAGGGCTGTCTCCAGGTGCTGTGGGGGTCTGGGAGAAGCAGAGCTGGAAACACCTGCCCCCTGCAAATAGGCAGTCAGCATTGGCACTTGGAGCTCAGTTGCAGGCCAGTGGTGCCTGGAGGTGGGTGGTACTCTGCCTGTGCTTAGCGCCTGCCCGCTCTTCCCCACCTTCCCAGGGCTGAGTGGCCTGGCAGGAGGGAGGAGCAGGAAGCTCCCGGAAGTAAACGGAGCACTGATTGGAACTGTGGCCCCTGGCCCCAGGGCCTCTGCACTGACCTCAGCTGGCTCTCAACCTGTCACAGGTCCCTTTGTCAGACCTATTACAGTCTTTAGTTTGGTTTTTCCCCAAGGCCTGGAATGAGGACCTGTTTTCAGAGGGGTCAGGGTGGACTCCTACCCAAGCTGGGCCCATGCCCCACCCACCCCTCTGGGCAGAGCAGCCTTGACCCTTGCATTGTAACCTTCGCCCAGTGGCCCGACCAGGAGGTGTCCCTGCCAGTTGAGAGAGCTGCCTAGGCCTTTCTAGAGTATGCTAGGCTCCAGGTCCACTTTTAGGGTGTGGGAGGGGCTCTCAGCCCTCAGCTGCCCAGGTGTGTGCCAGGTATGTGGCCCATGGAGGACTGACCTGTGGAGGTCCATCCCAGCCAACACTGCACTCAAAGGGGACAGGGGGCCTGTACACCTGCTCAGGGCCAAGGTGACCCATGTCCATGGGGTGTGGGAACCCCTGTCTGGGTGGCACTGAAGGCTATTGAGGGTAGGTCTTGCCCCCGGACTGTCAGCTCCATGGGGTCAGCTCCATGTCCATAGCAGGCTGCTGTAGTGGCTGTGACATGAGGTTTTGGGGGCCTGCTGGGCCTAGGGAAACAGCTGTACAGGCTTGCCTCTGAGCTGAGATGGAGCTGAGTGTGAAGATTTAAAGAAAACTTACACTCGGCGACACCTGTGGCTCAGTCGGTAGGCTGCCGGCCCTATATACCAAGGGTGGTGGGTTCAAACCCAGCCGCAGCCAAACTGCAAAAAAACAAACAAACAAACAAACAAAAAAACAGCCGGGCATTGTGGTGGGTGCCTGTAGTCCCAGCTACTTGGAAGGCTAAGGCAAGAGAATTGCCTAAGCCCAGCAGTTGGAGGTTGCTGTGAGCTATGATGCCACAGCACTCTACCAAGGGCAACAAAGTGAGACTCTGTCTCAAAAAAAAAGAAAGAAAGAAAACTTCTACTCCTCACCAGAAGTGTTGTTGGTTATCAGCATGCACACCAGCCAGGCAAGGTGAGTCCTCCATGCCTGGCCTGTGCTGGGGGCCAAGGGCACCCAGGACCTCTTCAGAGCCCATGGGCAAGTGGGAGAAGCTGTCCGGCCATGCCCTACCCTACCCTGGCAAGGGCCAAATGTATCTGGCACCTGTGCAACTGCTGCCATCTGGCTGCAGCCAACCCAGGTTGCATGGGAACCCTTTGCCGAAGTGGCCAGGCCTCGAGGCTACATCTGTGCCTCTTGGCTGGGGAGGGGTCTCACCAGGTCTTCGGAACAATGCAGAAAGTTGAAAGGGCAGACTTGGCCATCGCTGACTGGTGAGCCTGGTCTCTTAGGCCGCTCCTCACTGACCCTGTTCTTATCCCTTTCCTCCAGGACTGTCTCTGAGGTTGCAGCCTGGGCTCTGTCCTGACTGAGCCCTCTGCACTCTGGGGTCTGACCTGTGTATCATCGCTCTGCTGTGGCTGGGTCTCTGGGGGCCTCTGCATGGCAGGTGCTGAGGAGGATTTATTCAGGAGAGGTTTAGGGGATGTATCTATGAAGAACCGGGAGGAGCATGGAACCTGGAGCCCAGAGCCCAGCAGGGGCTCTGGTGAAGGGGGCTGAGGAGAACTGGTGAGGGCTGCACCCCTGCAGCACTGCCTCCAGGTCCAGAGCTGGGCAGTAGGATGCCCCTAAGACCTCTAAGACCTCACTGCTCCCATCCAAATGTGGCCTCCACCTGGGCTCCCACCTGTCTTGGACCCTACCCCCCCTCTCCCTGCCACCTGTTTCCCTGGAGCCCTTGCTGGTGCCCCTACCGCCCCCTTCCTTGGGGCCCTATAAGCTCTGACCTGCTCCTGTAACCTTGTAGCCTGAGATGTGACACATCTGATTGTTTAACTGACATCCTGGAGGTTCACTCCTACTGGGTCAGCTGCTCTTAAAAGTATACCAAGAAGGGCAGCACCTATGGCTCAGAGGAGTAGGGCACCAGCCCCGTATGCCAGAGGTAGCGGGTTCAAACCCAACCCTGGCCAAAAAAAAAAACTATACCAAGAAGAACTCGTTTGATCCATTCGGAATTTATTTTGGTATAAATTTTGCAGTTTGGAGCCTGTTGTGTTTCATGCAAATGATTTGTTATCCTCTTTTTTTTTTTTTTTTTTTTTTGAGACAGAGCCTCAAGCTGTCCCCCTGGGCAGAGTGCCGTGGCATTACAGCTCACAGCAACCTCCAACTCCTGGGCTCAAGCGAGTCTCCTGCCTCCGCCTCCCAAGTAGCTGGGACCACAGGCGCCCGCCACAACGCCCGGCCATTTTTTGGTTGCAGCCGTCATTGTTGTTTGGCGGGTCCGGGCTGGGGATTCGAACCCGCCACCTTAGGTGTACGTGGCTGGCGCCTTAGCCGGTTGAGCTATAGGCGCCGAGCCTTGTTATCCTCTTATCACAACTACTCACTGATTACCGTCTGCTACTGCTTGAAGTCTTGTTACCATGTACTAAATATGTGTTTATATGGTGGATTGGGATCTGTTTCCCAGGCTGTTGACCCCATCCTGAGGAGTCTCACACATACCTTTCTACTTTCTACTGAGTCCTGCTCTGTGGCAGGGCCAGCAGTCCTGATCATTCTACTTCTTGAGAACTGTCTCAAATAGTTTTTCCTCCAGGGGCCTCTGTGTCCTGCTGCCGCATCTCAGGGGGCTCTCTCATTGATGTTGCCAGTTACCATTCTTGACCTCCCTCGTGTCTGAGGGCCCATTCAAGGATGGAATCTGTGAGTTGCAGGATATGAATGTTCTTATCCCAATGAACACCTCAGGTGCCTGTAGGTGTTCAACAGTGGGCCCCAGCCTGACGGTTATAGCCTCCCAAGTGACACTCTCTGGCTGCTCTCATCTTCCTTCACAGGGCTCTAAGCGGGTACTGCGTTCCCATGAGATTGTGCTGCCCCCCAGCGGGCAGGTGGAGACAGACCTGGCCCTGACCTTCTCACTGCAGGTGAGTTTTGCCCCCTGGGTGGTGGGACCCTCCACCAGATGTCTTTGTCCCATCCTCACACCTTGCCGGTTGCTTGAGAGCCTGCCAAGTGGGAGCCGATGTTCAGCAAAGCACCTTTCCGCTTCTGTAGGTGATTGGGGGGGGGGGGTTATTGAAGTGTAATTTATAGAATGCTTAATTTATCCGTTTTAAATATATGATTCTATGGGTTTTGAAAGTGCACATGGACTTGTGACCACTACCAAGTTGTGTAGAGAATGGTCCCACCCACCCCCATTTTAAAAATTGTTTTTGAAAACTATTAAGAAAAAGCTTGTGAACATCAGCTTCACCTATGTAAGCTCTGCTGGCCAAGTTCCTCAGAAGGTGGTACGGCCAGGGGAGTCCTGCCATGCACAGCATAGGCGCCAGACTCACTTCAGCTTCCTGGCCAGGAAGCGGCGGGCCTGTGTCTGGGTCCCACACATGTCCCTAGGCCTGTCCCAAATGCCCAGACAGGCAGTTTGTTCCACATCTGCTGTTAGTGTAGCAGAGCGGGCCACAAGGTCTGCGTGGCTCAGTGAGCCATGGGGACCAACCATTCTTGTTGGCCTTGGGTAAATCAAGGACCTAAGTGATCCTGAAAGGCCATCAGAGCCTGTGTGTCAGGCTGGCCTGCAAGAGGCAGGAGGGGGCTGCCTGGCCACAGGGAACATACTCAGGCCACTCTGTGTTGCACCCACAGTACCCTCACTTCTTGAAAAGAGAAGGCAACAAGCTGCAGGTCTTGCTGCAGCGCAGGAAGCGGTATAAGAACCGGACCATCCTGGGGTACAAGACACTGGCCGCAGGCTCCATCAGCATGGCGGAGGTGAGTGCCTTGCACCTGGGCACAGCTGTGGTGGCGGCGGGCTGGTCCTTATGGGGCACCAGAGCATGCTCTCAAAGCATAGTTTTTCTATTTTTAGTAGTGACGGGATCTCACTCCTGCTCAGGCTGGTCTTAAACTCCTGAGCTCAATAATCCTCCAACCACAGCCTCTCAGAGTGTTGGAATTACAGGTGTGAGCCACCTTACCCAGCCCCTTTACACAGCCACCCATGAGGGTGGGATCCAACTTCTTCCAGACTCCTGTTCATGTTGGGAGTTTGGCCTTCACCTATGTGTCATGCATGTTCTTTATGGCATCTAGGATGGTGAATCTTGCCAGAAGGTTTCAGCTGACTTTGCCTAGATCCATCAGAAGAATCACCATCTGTGGCAGCTACAGCCTTAATGAAATGTGTTTTGTAAAGAGTAAGACTTCAGAGTTGAATTTACTTTTTAATCTGTGGTCTGTAGAATGGATGTTGCATTAGCAGGTGTGAAAACAGCATTCATCTCCTTGTGCATCTCCACCAGAGCTCATGGGTGACCAGGTGCCTTGTCAGTGAGCAGTGAGATTTTATTTTTTTTTTTTATTTTTTTTTGAGACGGAGCCTCAAGCTATTCCCCTGGGTAGAGTGCCATGGCATCACAGCTCATAGCAACCTCCAACTCCTGGGCTCAAGCGAGTCTCCTGCCTCAGCCTCCCAAGTAGCTGGGACCACAGGCGCCCGCCACAACACCTGGCCATTTTTTGGTTGCAGCCATCACTGTTGTTTGGTGGGCCTGGGCTGGGGATTCGAACCCGCCACCTTAGGTGTATGTGGCTGGCGCCTTAGCCGCTTGAGCCACAGGTGCCGAGCCGAGCAGTGAGATTTTAAAAGGAGTCTTTTGGAGATGGGCATGGTGGCTCATGCCTATAATCCTAGCACTCTGGGAAGCTGAAGTAGGTGGATTGCTTGAGTTTAAGAGTTTAAGACCAGCCTGAGCAAGAATGAGACCCCCATCTCTACTAAAAATAGATAAATTAGCCCAGTGTGGTGGTAGGCACCTGTAGTTCCAGCTATTCCAGAGGCTGAGGCAAGAGGATCACTTGAGCAATAGTTTGAGGTTATAGTGATCTATGATGCTGTAGCACTCTAGCTTGGGTGACAGAGTGAGACTCTTATCTCTAAATAAATAAATAAATGGAATCTTTTTTTTTTCTGAGCAGTGGTCTCAAGAGTGGACTTAAAATACTCAGTAAACCATGCTATAAATAGCTGTGCTGTCATCTAGGCTTTGTGCTCCATTCACAGAGCACAGGCAGAGTAGATTCGGTATAACTCTTGAGGGCTCTAAGGCACTAAGATTTTCAGAATGGTTAATGAGCATTGGCTTCAACTTAA